TAACCGTAACCGTAACCGAAACTATCGGATATCCGATATAAAAAAATGTCCGTAACCGTAACCGAATCCGAAATAAAAGTTTCGGATAATATCGGATAGGGCCGGATCCTAATTGAGACACGTTATGTAACCATTTTGTTAGCTATTTGTATTTTGCTTTTGAATTTCTTTAAAAAATTAATATTTGTAAAATTATCCAAAACTAATGGATTAAATAATTTCATATCCGCATCCGTATCCGTATCCGGTATAATAATCATTCCTATATCCGAATACTATCCGTATCCGAAATTTCATATCCATAACATCCATGGATTTGTGGATTTGCACGTAAAATCACTGTTTGTACATACATACAACGTAATTGGGGAAACACGCAGAGCAAGAAAACGGCCGAGAGGGAACAATATATATTTTTATATATATTTTTAAGCGGATTAAATACACGTATGAATAATATGATAAAGCGTGACACAGTACTTAACAAGGAGTATTTTTGAGAGGATTAATTAATAGATAAAATATCTAGGGTTGTTCATAGCGTAGGGGACAAACGAGCTTGTTGACAACTTGGGACAAACGTTGCTTACCTGACGGTAAGGGGCTATCCATTAAACACGTGAGGCTTGAATGGTGGTAGGGGGAGGGGGGGGGGGGGGGGTATGACAAAAATCACGAAATATTACAAGGGGGTCTGGTAAGACATCACGTGTATTTATTCTATGCCAATCAAAAACAATCTGCCACCTTTCTGTCTAGACATTTTTATCATGGTCCTTAATTTCAGAATAAAATAAGATTATACTTTATACTTGTATTTAAAGCTAATATTCTAAAAATTTTAAGATTCTTTGTAGGTACTACAAAAAACCAGTAATGTTGGGTGGGAGAGGGCGGGGGGTAGTTTTAAACCTTACCACGTATCACCAAGGCGGAGGGGGGCTTTTTAAGCATTTAAAAAAGATCACGTGATTAATGCACGGCCCCTAAGTGATTGCTTGGCTTTACGTGGCTCATCAAAACTTTAGTGCTCATGTCCTCAAACTTATCTCCGGCTATCTGTAGTTTATTCTACTATGCGTCTTCTCTAGTCTATAATATTCTGATTTTTTTTGCCACGCACAATCATATTATGGAATCATCTTCCAGCAATGGTATATCAGAAACTGATACGATATTGAAATCTTTAAGAAATGATGTCATTCCTTCTTAAAAGGCCGGCAACGTGCAGTCTCCCTTATCCTGTTTATTGTATCTTTGAGAGGATCACTTAATCGATAAACTATCTAGGTTTTTTCATAGCATAAGGGACAAATGAGCTTGCGACTAACCTGACGGTAAGTGATTACAGCCCCCCATGAGCAGCCCCAACGCTAGAGGTGCAATTGCAATAATATTTTTATATTCATATGCATGTAGTAAAAAACGGTTATTTCAATATTATAAACAGACACTCCAATTTTATTTATATGTATAGATTTGAAATTGGTCTTGCGGTTTAGCATACCGCTTTACTTCTGATGGTCGTAGGTTCGATTCCTCGCACGGTGCAAACATTTGTTTCATGAGTATGATTGTTTGTATTGGTTTGGGTGTTTTCAATGTATATTATGTATGTATTTACAAAAAAATATCTAAGTATTTCTATTATATCGGCTGTCTAGTACACACAAAAAAAAATATAAATTATATCAGTGTCCCGTACCCATAACACAAGCTGTGTTAATTGTCCAGGGTTATATATTTATTATTGTACTAGCTTTTGCCCGCGGCTTCGCGGGGTTGGAATTTATCAAAATCCTTTCTTCGGACGGCTACGTCATAACATCTACCTGCATGCCAAATTTCAGCCCGATCTGTCCAATGGTTTGGGCTGTGCGTTGATAGATCACTATGTCAGTCACCTTTGAGTTATATATATTTAGATGTTCCCTCTAAACTTATTTTGCTCTGTGTACTGAGTAAGAGAAAACAGTGCGAAAATAAATAAGTATTTAGTTTGAGATGTTATCAGCGTGTGTAAATAAAATAATATATATTCCTTGCTGAGTTAATAACATAACACTAAAAGTAGTGTTTGGAATGCTTTACATCTTTTCCTGTACCAATTTAGAGATGTGATGAGAGATCTCACCATAATTTTAAATATGTGATACCTGTTAGTAAAAGTACTCATCAAAATCGTTCTAGAACTAGCCTAATGCTACATTTACATTGCCGCTTCCCCTGCCACTCGCGCTGACGGAGATATTGCCGGGCGACAACTGAGCGAGGGCTAAATGTAAAAACAAGCTGCCACTCGCGCTGCCAGTCCTTTGACTCGCGCACGAAAAACCGACAATCGAGGGAGCGCCGGGCAGGGCTAATGGCATGGGAAGTGTTTCCACTCGTGTTTACACTCTCGTGCTGCTCACTTCCCTGCCCACTCGGGCTGAGTGTAAATTGAGCATGATATCGTATGATGTGTATAAGTACAATTATGTGGTTTAAAACTTTTCATCACATAGTTTTGTATTGGAAAGGTTGATGACATGATTATAAAACAATTATAATGTTAATCTTTCTTATACTATAGGGTATTCGTCAATGATGTCACACATTTAAGGGTGGGGGAGGGGTCTATGTAGATATTGTGAGGCCTCTCCCAGATTCCCAAAATTCTAAATCATAAATTATATGACATAAACATTAGTGACACTTTAAAGAACCCATAATTATGTAGATTTTGTGGGGTCTATGTAGATATTGTGAGCCTAACGGTGGGCAGTGTCCGAAATTACGACGTCACATTTGAAAATTTTATAAATTATCATCAACATCATTAGTCCACTGCTGGACATAGGCTTCTCCAAGATTCCCAAAATTCCAAATCATAAATTATATAATATAATCATTAGTGACACATTAAAGAACCCATAATTTAACATTTACAGACTGTTACAAACTTGAAACAATAGTCTTGTTGGTTTATAGTACAACTAGCTGTTACCGCGACTTCGTCCGTGTGGAATTTAACTTTATTTTTCTAATATAAAAGATTTTATTCAAAATAAAAGTCACCTAAGTTACTCCTTATTACATCGGCTTTTCAGAGATTAGCCGGAACAAACAGACCGACAGACAGGCAGACAAAAATTGTAAAAAGTGGTTTTTTGGTGTATTGATTTTTGTTGAATATAAATACGGTACCTACACCAAAATGTATGTATGTAGTAAAAAACGGTTATTTCAATATTACAAACAGACACTGCAATTTTATTTATATGTATAGAGTATAGATTTTATTAGTGGCCCTTATTTTGTTTTCAGTAGTATATTATATCTTCGGACAATTTATACAACGCCATCTAGTCCTAAGCTAAGCAGAGTTGTGCTATGGTTACTAGACAACTGACATTCATCGATTTTTTTTTAGAAATGCCTAACAATAACAAACTGATTTAACCTAAATGTCGTTTAGCTAAAGTTAGTAATTCGTCTTATGGCAACTGCATAAGGTTTTACAAGAAAATACCAAAGTCTGTTATAAATCTGACTGAAAAAAGATTTAAATGTCATATAAAATTGCTTCCTTTGCAAAAAAAGCTTACAATTATAAAACTTAAGAAACTCTTATAAAATTGAAGAATTTGTTAACGATAATAATGTTTTTATAAAAACCAAAACTTAAAATCCATACTGCTCATAATATTATCTGATTACACTAATAATGAGTGCATAGCAATTTCTATGTTGATTATTGCATGCTTCTCATTTGTTATACTGTAATTATAGCAACACACAAGTTTCTTGCTCATTCTAGTGGTAGAATCAAAATATGACTATTCAAAAGTGCTTGTAATGAGTTTATTTGAATAAAGATTATTTCTATTTCTATTACTATACAGAATACATATAGAAAACATCCAGACAGAAACGGACAAATAATCATACCCATGAATACAAGTATGGGGAATCAAACCATCAGAAGTGTCCTTGATTCATGCCACTGCGAGCCTAATCACCTTATGAGCCATGTAGCTTGTTTGGCATTACATAAAAAAATTTTTTTATGTGTATATTTATAATGATATATTACATAAACTAATACAAAAGGCGATCTTATCGCTAAGCAATCTCTTCCAGACTACCAGTAGAGAAAGTAACATTAAGATAAGAAAATAGTAGGTGGTGCACGTAATGAACATAAATATATTAATATATTTGTACATAAATATTAATAAAATTATTATGTATAATTATTATATATTAATATGTATAATAAAATATAAACATATGTATACATACATATACTTAATAATGCACTTAGCTTCAGAAAATATGAAGGGTTGGATCTTATAAAAAGTAAAATATTTCATACTCATACAGACATTTTTAATACAATATTTTTGTTAATATTTTAAGTAAATAGTAGATAATATTTGAAATAACCTTTTCATACTGATATATATACAGATGCTGTAATATTTCTGCTGTATTTAGCTGAAAAATATAAATTACTTTACGGATGAAATATTAACAACAAACTATCAACTATTTACTTAAAATATTAATCAATAATATTTTAAGTAAATAGTAGATAATTTTTGTAATAACCTTTTCATACTGATTATTCATACTGATAATGTATATTTTTTAGCTAAATACAGTTTCCATTATGAAATATTTAAAGTAATTGTATAGAAATATTAGTTTTAAATTTGCTATGCAATGGAGTAGACATGTTTAAAAACAAAAACCACAAAATAAATTTAGATAAAAAAAATTGCTATGCACCCTTTATGGTAGGTATATAAGGACCAAACTCAAATAATTGGATTAAGGCAAGGCAATGATTAGAATAATGTAGTTTAAAATTATAATAAGACATGAAATGAAGCTTCATTTCAATAATTTAAATATCATCATCATCATCACATCAGCTCGGAAGTGGTCCACTGCTGAACAAAGGCCATTAATTGTATTAATAATACAATTAATCAATTTGCAATAAAACTCACCTGTTTTCTTGTAATATCTGAGTGTTGTGCTGTGTTATGACCCCTGAGAAGGTGAGAGCTTGGCTGATACTCTGTCCTATGGCATCCTGTGACGATATCACTAGATTCTCCACAGACTTTCTCCTGCAAGTTTCAACATTTGTAAATATATTTTTGTGTAATGTCTAAATTAGGTATAGTCTTTGTTTAGGTACCGACACAGTCATGAGTCATAGACAAGGAGATACTTTCACATTATTAAATAAGAGTTCTATTAGTCTCACTGAATTGATTTTAACACCATTTTAAAACTTAGAGATATTTAGTTTTAAGACAAAAAAATGATGAAATTAAACATAGAATTTATGTAGATTATTCTGTAAATTATTAATGTTATCTAGTGCAATACAAGGTCAATAATACAATATTGTTATTACAAATTATAGCAAATACAAATAGGAAATTAAATATTAAAAATATTGTAATTACATTGGGTTATGTTTAATGTAGAGCGCGAGATAATAGAGATGCTGTTTAACTACGCGTGTTTGTGATTAGAGTGCAAATAGCAGCGGTGATTGTGAGATAAGCCTATAGTTTAATTGTGTATACACTGCTTGATCGAGCCTAATGCAATCTGTGAGATCAACGACCCTTCAGATCGTCTGATGTAAGCATTCAGCGCAAAATTTACAATACCAATTTGTGGACTCTCTTCAAAACATAACACAAACAATGTTACTGCGTCTATGAAACAGCACAACGTAATAATAGCTCTATAATTAGGAAGTAAGCAACGACATTACTAACATTGAAATTGCAATGTTGCGGCTATCCAACTCTGAAGTGGTCATAATTGTGGCGGTTTCAGTTCACCGTTCTGTCGAACACACGCGAACTATAATCCACAATTAGGTTTTTTGCTATCATCATCCGAATAAAAGAAATTTACAAAAAGTTCAAGGAATCCAATAGAAACAAAATTGATTTGGTGGAGGACAGAGAAACGACTGGTGACAGATGATTGACAGCGGACCTGCTGATGATGACTGACATGACTTTATTCGTATACAGACAAATGACAGCTAAGTGCAGTGTTACCAATTGAAAGAACTTATTACAGATTATTAAAAGGCATAGAAAGAGGGAATCTAAGTAGCTTAAGTATTTATGTAAGTGCCATATTTGGAGGATTGCAAAATAAATATACAAAAAAGTATAAAATCTAAAAGTAACAAAATAAAAATTTTACTAGTCACCTAGCACTACTTCTTAAGTTAGAATAAATCAACCCGCCCAAGAGGCTTTTAACCGCATTGTCCGGGTGATGTTGCCTCCGAAGGTGATGCCGGGACAAAGGGGCTCATCCCGAGCCGCAATCTTTATCCCCCTAGGGAAATGCAGATGACCTGTGTCTGTCTAGGAACTTATTTTTAGTGACCTCCAATCGTAATTAAGCGTAACTTTTTGTTCGAGATGGCAGTTTTAAAAATATACTCCTTAATACCTCTTCGTAATACCTGAATGGAAGGTTGTTCTTATTCTAAAGGTTTCATATCTTCTAATACATAATTCTAGAGTACTTAAAAGTACAAAATTTTGATTCATAAATTTAATTGCATTCGTACATATATCCTTCCTTCGTAATTTTGGTGATGACAATATAGTAACCATTTACCATCAGAGAGGACGTATGCTTGTTTGTCACCATAGTAGTATACGAAAAACATTTTTTTATAATATATACAAATGTATACATTTCTCTTCATATGTAGCACTTTAAACAGGTTTCCCCGCAAAATTATTTCAAGGTGGATCTTGACCAAAAAAAAAAAACACCTCGAAGTTGTCAAATTGCCAAATGTCAAAATATTACCTACCGTTGTTCCTATGATCAACACGTTTTACTTGTGTAATTTATTTTTCTAAATTATAAATTGCCTCAAATGTATTAATTATGGCTGATGAGAGTGCTTTTGACAAGAAGAAAGCGCACCGCGCAAAACATGCTGGCCGTAAAGCGGAAAAAAAGAAAAAGAAAAATGCTGTCGACCAATCTAACCTAAGCGCCAGGCAGCGGAATCCTAAAGCTTTCGCTATACAGTCCGCTGTGCGGGCCGAGAGGAAATTTAGACGACGAGAGGATGTTATATCTAAGAAGCAGCACATCCCGCAGGTGGACAAAACGCCCCTGGAGCCGCCGCCGATAGTTGTAGCTGTCGTGGGTCCACCCCGCGTTGGAAAAACAACACTCATCAATAATCTGATTAAAAGTTTCATTAAAACTAATGTGACGAGTACTAACGGCCCCATAACCATAGTGACATCGAAGAAGCGACGTCTGACTCTTATTGAATGCAATAATGACATTAACTCCATGATTGATCTAGCAAAATGCGCCGATCTAGTCCTCTTGTTGTGCGACGCTAGCTTCGGCTTTGAAATGGAGATATTCGAGTTCCTCAACATCTGTCAGGTGCATGGTATGCCGAAGATCATGGGCGTGCTGACCCATCTCGATATGATAAAGAATGCTAAAACATTGAAAACTACCAAGAAGACACTGAAACACCGTTTCTGGACCGAAGTGTATCCTGGCGCGAAGTTATTTTATTTATCAGGCATAGTGCATGAGGAGTATTTGAGAAATGAAATTAAAAATTTAGCTCGGTTTATATCAGTTATGAAGTTTAGACCTCTTAGTTGGAGAACCACTCATTCGTACGTGCTGGCAGACAGGCTGGAGGATATAACAAGTCAGGAGACCATCCGGAAGGACCCAAAAGTTAGCAGAGATGTTGTGCTGTATGGTTACATCAGGGGAGTGCCTTTGATGAAGGAGTCTGTGGTTCACATAGCAGGTATGTAACAGTTACCTTTAGTATCCTATTTATTATGTAATTAATGATATATTTTATATTCACACAAAGTCCTAAATATGTAATGCTGAATAATATTTATTAAGAACAACACATAAGTTTCTTGCTCTATCTTCTTGTGATGAGTCTGCTTTTCAAATGAGTGGTAGAAAAAATATAATATAAATTTTAATATAGATATTTAATATTTAAGGCTTCTATGAATTAAACAATTTGATATTATGTATTCCAAAAAAAAGTTAAGAATATTATGTTTTATAACATAGTCGAAAGAGCAATATTACCTGTCCTTAATTTTTTTCTTGTATGTATAATATTTTCATAAATGTACTGTGAGGCAATGGTGACGATATTTGATTCTTTAAAGCATTGATATAATGTCTCTCTCAAACCCATACCATAAATAGAACATATGCCTGTCTTTTGTAGAATAAAAATAGTATTTGTATTGACTGCTTTATCCCACCGTAGTATGCCATATGACATAATGCTATGGAAATAACTAAAATAGACAAGTTTATCTATCATCATGTCTGTTAATTACCTTATGAAGAATGGGAAAGTTCCATAGGCAGCAGAACTGAGTCTACTACTATATAGATGAGTGTGAAATTATAAACTACAGTTTTTTTTTTTAATTTTTCAGGTGTGGGAGACATGAAGATTAGTGAACTGTCATACCTACCAGATCCATGTCCTCTTCCAAGCAGTGAAAAGAAGCGACACCTAATGGAACGAGAACGGCAAATATATGCTCCATTCTCTGGTGTGGGTGGTATTGTTTATGATAAGGATGCAGTATATATTGAACTGCAGGGTTCCCATTCCCACAAACGGGAAGATGAGGAGACCACTGAAAAGAAGGCTCTAATAAAAAATGTTGTAGACACTAAAGAAACTGTTGATGAGCAGATGCAGGAGAGTGGTTTCAAATTGTTTAGTGGAGGAGCTATTATATATCCAGAAATGGTGAAAGATGATGAATATTTGCAACACAATAAAGTTCTGACTAAAGTAAATAATGATGACAGTTCAGATGAATCAAATTCTGAAGAAGAAAGTGAATCTGATAATGATAGTGGTATTGATCAAAGTGAGAAAGATGTTTCTGACAAAAAAAAACTACCATGGGAAATTAATTCTGGTTCAGAACAAGAAGATGCAGATGAAACTGAATCTATTGGTGACAATGTTAATGCACTAAATGAAAACAATGGAACTGAGGAAGTTTTTGATACAAAATGGAAAGAGAAGTTAAGTGAAAAAGCTACTGATGCATACTATCAAAGACAAAGAACATCAAAAAATATAATGAAACTTGTCTATGGAGAATATGACATTGGTAATAAATCAAAAGATAAATCAGATGAACCTGATGAAAGTAGTGATAGTGATGGAGAAGAAATTGGTGGGTTGTTCAAAAAAGTGACAGAAACACAGAAGAAAAAACAGAAAGAGAAAGAAAATTTAGATTTAGATGAATGCTCCTTTTATTATAACTTACACAAACCAAATTTAAGAGACTGGTCAAGTGAAACAAATAGACAATATTTAATTAATTGTTTTGTCACTGGGAAAAGATCTGCTGATCAAGATGCATCAGAGTTACTGAAGTTAGATGATGCTAGTGATGGTGACGATGAAGAGCTTTATGGAGATTTCGAAGATTTAGAAACAGGGGAGAAGCATACTACTGATGAATTGACAGATCAGGTAGGAACTGCTCCTAAAAGAAAAGCAGAGCCCACAAAGTCAGAAATTCTTGACAAAAAGATGAAACTAAAAGCAAAGTTTGATGCTGAATATGATAATCCAGATGACCACAGAATCAAAGGTGACCATTCCTACTATGAGAGCTTGAAGGCAAAAGCATTACAGCAGTCGGAACTTAATAAATCAGTGTTTGAAAATTTGGAGGATGGTCTTAGGGTTGAAGTTGAAGGTTTTCGACCTGGAATGTATGTTAGAATGTTATTTAAAAATATCTCATCAGAATTTGTTTCAAACTTTGATTCAAGTTATCCTATACTCATTGGAGCATTGAATATGACTGAACAAAATATAGGGTTTGTGTCCTGCAAGGTCAAGAAACATAGGTGGTATAAAAAGATATTAAAAACAAATGACCCGCTGATTATTTCTTTAGGTTGGAGAAGATTTCAAACTCTACCAATTTACTCAAAGATAGAGGATGACTTGAAGTGTCGATATTTGAAATATACACCTGAACATGTTACATGTAATATGCATTTTTATGGCCCCGCCACACCACAACACACTGGTTTCCTTGCTTTGCAAACTGTAATTAATAATTCTAATGAAATAAAGCAACTAGGTTTCAGAATTGCAGCTACGGGTAGTGTCAATGAAATAAATAAATCAACTCAAATAGTTAAGAAATTGAAATTAGTTGGAACACCTTTGAAAATTTATAAAAAAACAGCCTTTATCAAAGATATGTTCACAAGTACTCTAGAAGTAGCTAAATTTGAAGGTGCAAAAATAAAAACAGTATCAGGTATCCGAGGTCAAATTAAAAAGGCTTTAAACAAACCAGAAGGTGCATACAGAGCTACTTTTGAGGATAAAATACTTATGAGTGATATTATTTTCTGTCGGACATGGTTTAAAGTAAATGTCACTAAGTTTTATGCACCTGTTGTTAATTTATTGTTACCTATAGGTGAAAAGAATGCATGGCAGGGAATGAAAACTAAAGGGCAATTGAAGAGAGAACGAAATATTCAGTATAAAGCCAATGTTGATTCTATGTATACAGAGGTGATTAGACCAAATAAGGTGTTCAAACCTCTAACTATTCCAAAAAATTTGCAGAAAGGTTTGCCATATAGATTTAAACCTAAAGTGAACACAACTACACTATCAGGTGATGATCCTAAGAACAAATCTAAGGAAAGAGTAGCAGTAGTAAAGAGTCCATATGAGCAGAAGGTTTCTAATGTGATGAAGATGTTAAAAACTAATTACGAAAAAAAGGTAACTGTGCAGAAAGAAGCGACAGCTGAGCGATTGAAAGCGCACAAACAGCAACAAGATGAACAAGAATGGCGGCGGATTAAGAGGCAGAAGGAGTTAAAGAAGAAGATTTGTAGACATTTAAGTAAAATGGGCAGTAAAAAGACTCAGACTCAAATGTGATCAATTTTTCAGCTAGACATAGGTACCTAGTATTTAATTTTAAGTCTGTGTAATGTGATTAATATAATAAGAAAAACTATAATCTGACTATTATTAATGTTCCCATTATGATTCGAGTTAGTTCTGTATGACTATTAGTAACAGGAACTAATGGCCCAGGAAACCATTGTGTTTAATTTTTGGTGCTTTCGCAACAATGTCTACACACAACACATTCTTTCGCAGTCAGGTGCGCGGGAAAGCCAGCGCGCGCAATCGTGAGTAATTGAATTTTACCATTTTAAGTGATTGTTATTTCCCGCGTGATAATGCGTATCGTCGTGCTTCAAGTCATATATATCATATATCACCTATATCACTTTTAAAATGTTAGTTTTGATTCCACAGATTTTATTTTCCAAGGACATTTGTAAGAATTGATATCGCCACCAATGGAACTATAGTGGTATATTAAATTGCTGAACCTATACCGCCATTTCACTTCTTTTTAACTAGCTACATACCCTGGCTTCGCGCGGGTATACATATAATTCATCTCTTGAATCCCTTTATCTGTTGCTAAAGACTGCATTAAAACAGATTTATAAATTATCAGTAACTCTAAAATTCTATCTTTGCTCTATAGTCAGATGTCCTCTGCAATAGTAATTAGTAATTACAAAAAGGCGCTAAAACACTCAATATTTAAGAACGCCAGGTTTTTCTCGTTATCTAAGTCTATAATTAATTAATTATTCCTGCGTGAAAGAGCGTAAGTGTAAAGGCAACTAATGACATGACTTCATACTTACCATATAATCTTCCAGTTGTGGGCCAGCGTATCTCTCCAGCGCAGGCTAATGAACCTCATTCCATATTCATATATAATAATTATAATTTCAGAAAAATTCACACAGCGCCATCTAGACCCAAGTTAAGCTAGCTAGAGCTTGTGTTATTGGTACTAGACAACTGATCGAAATAGTAAATTTTGTTAATGATACAGTTTTTTTAGGTATTACAGTAGACTCGAAATTACAATGGGGGCCCCATATTTCAAAATTGGCCAGTAGACTCAGTTCTGCTGCATATGCAATTAGAAGAATTAGGCAATTAACAGACGTGGCGACGGCTAAACTTGTATATTTTAGTTATTTCCATAGCATAATGTCTTATGGCATACTGCTGTGGGGTAAAGCAGCCGATATAAATACTATATTTGTTTTACAAAAGAGAGCCATACGTTCTATTTATGGTATGGGTTCAAGAGAGTCATTACGTCAGTGCTTTAAAGACTCAAATATCCTCACAGTTACTTCACAATACATTTATGAAAATATTATGTATACACGGAAAAACTTAGAGAGTTTTAAAAAACTCAAAGACTGTACAAGTAGAAACTTACGCAATATAAATAAGCTTATTTTACCTAAATGCCGTCTGCACAAAATCAGTAATTCATTCTATGGTAATTGCATAAGATTTTATAATAAACTGCCAGAATCTGCATTAAATCTGACAGAGAAGCAATTCAAATCTTACATTAAACAATTTTTATGTAAGAAAGCCTATTACAGGATAGACGAATTCATAGATGACAATATATCAAGTAAATAATTAGTTTATTAGCATACAACGTTATAATTTATTTTCTCATTGCTTTCTTGATTTAATTGATTGATTTTAGAAATATGAAAGCGTAGCGGTTTTTGTATTAATTGCCGCATGCATTCTTATGTAAAACGTGAATACTATAACTATCAGATGGCAATTGTGAGTAGCTTTGACGTGGTCTAGTGTTTTGAGTAGTCATGCTCACTAAAATGTCCAGACTTGTGGCGGCGTGGTGGGCCGGGTCATTGGGCTCCCTAAAATATGGTCGAGCGCAGTGATGGCTGGCTCATCCGTCATACTCGTGAACGGGTGCTGCTTGTAGGGACTGGTCTGCTCTAATCACTATGACTGATTTCCTCTTATTAATTGTTTAACCAGTTGGTTATGTATTCAATATTTTTTCTTTTTGAATATTTAATTGAATTAGTGCTAATTGGTGGTTTGTATTCACACACTTAAACTTAAAAATGTAAAGTAATAATAAAATTATTTAAAAGAGCAACACGCAAGTTTCTTGCTCGTTCTTCTTGTGATGAGACAGCTTTCCGAACGAGCGGTAGATTAAAAAAAAATGTAATGACTATTCAAAAGTGCTTCAATGTAAGTTTATTTGAATAAATGATTTTCTATTCTATTCTATTCTAATACATAGATATATATTTTTTCATAAATAAATACCTATTATACATAGAAAACATCCAGTCTGATACAAACAATCATACTCATGAATACAAATGTTTGTGCCGTGCGAGTAATAGAACCCGCGACCATCGTAAGATGTGCTACACCGCTAGACCACCGAAACTCTCAATATATAGTTTTGTATGACTGCAGAATCATCTATGCACGTTACGTAGCGGGTTTTAGGTCCATCCTAGTCATCACTTAGGTTAGTCTATCAACCAGTAGGCCTACCAATACTTACTACTGTTTGTGGAAGGTGATGCATACAACATTCTCTACAGATTTTCATGTCGGAATCGACAAACAATAATTTGGTTTATCCTTTTTTTTAATATTAGATTAATAAATAACCCTGGACAATTAACACAACGCCATCTAGTTCAACGGTAAGCAGAGTTTGTGTTATGGGTACTAGACAACTGATAAATACAGAGATTTCTTTTGTAGTAAATACATAGAAAACATCCAGACCGTTACAAACAATTATAGTCATGATCATCTCATCAATCATAGCCTACGAAACTGTCAATCTATGTACTAAGTACTAGTGATTGTTAAATTGATGATTAATAAATTTTTGTCTTTAATTTGACAATTATGTGTAAGTGCTATCTATGTTACGAATCTACTACTACTACTACCCTGCGAATTAATCCATATAGAAGTCACGAATTTCATGATTTAATGACACCTCTTGTTTTAGCACTTTGTACATGTTTCAGCTGGTCACATTTCGTCGGTTAAATAGATAAATGGCAGTATTCAAAATATACATTTTTTACAAGACAACCATTTAAAGTTTTTAAATTTATTTAAATTATTTTTTTCTTTAAAGTTTTAAATTTACATAGAAGTGTTATATATCATTTTAAAAGTATTTAGATAGTGATTAAGACGGCGTGGTTAATTTAATTGACTTATATAAAAGGAGGCAATTCTAAGTTCTAATTTTGATAAATGTCATTTACTATTTAATCGACGATTTGTGAAACTCCCTGCCACTTCAATGATACGTTACCTACATATACAGAATATGTCAAAAATAATTTAAACCTTATGTTTATGCTGATAAGTTATATGTGACATCTCTCACTCACTTCTTGTCACGCAAATTCACACCTTAGTCAACCTCCTGCCTACCTTTAACATTAACAAAAATATTTCTTCTTTCATATATAAAAAGCTACTGTATCTGGAAATAATAAACTAGAGTGGGTTCGTGGCCCCTCTATTTAAAATAGAACTGAAAAGAAAAAGAAAATCCTTTTATTCAAATAAACCTAATTTAAGCATTTTTAAATAGTCAGAGTTATCTTTTAAATCTACTGCTCATTTGTAAAACTGTCTCATCACAAGAAGAATTATCAAGAATCTTGCGTATTGCTCTTTTAAATAATCGTTTTAATTTTACTTTTGAAAGTCGAAACGTGTGAATACAATTTTTCCAAAGAAACAGTACTCTAAAGTAACTGCGCCATTGTGAAGCGGGGGTATATTGCTAGTACTAGCTACAAAACAGCTGTTGAATAAATAAAACAATACGTTTATATCGTGTAAATTGTATTTACCTCTTATCATTATGCATAACGCATGTCGTCATCGCACATCTGATAAATATTTTTACAAAGGTTACACAGTAGTTCAGATTACATTGGTCAAAATAATCATTGTCTAGATTAACAAATCTGTTCAGACATTACAACAATGCCCTACACTTTACCAAAGTTTCCTGTAACATTATTCCGCTAACATATTAGTTGAGGGCCGAAGCGTTAATGATTACACAGAAAGCTTGGAATGTAAAGGCGGTCGGTGGCGGCTATGCTTTTTTACACGTGCCCGTTGCCCGATAAATCGCTGTAAAAGTATATTAACTTTAACGCACAGCGGCGTTTTATATCAGATAAGTGTTTATTCGGATCTACAACTAAAGTTCATACCTAAACCAGTTGCAAATATACAATAAAACCATGGAATTGTACATCTTTCGGCTATCTAGATGATGTAACGTCGTACGACGACGGACAGTCGACAACTGGCACGCATGAAAAAGCATTTACACGAGTACTCGCACCGGACTTGCCACACTACTGGCGCTAGCGCGGTAATTGTCATTCCCACCACTATACAAAGCTATGCAACACATTTATTTATATGCAAAATTATATACATTCAAAATTTCACTAACAATATAATTTACATTTATTCCTTAACGTGAAGGTAACTTTACTCTTTGGTAGCGCGAGCCACTGGGACGCCATCTATGGGACTGATCATACCTCACATACGTACCCTATGACCACCACCATTTACTGCCATAAATATTACACATTTATCCACGACACCGTCTCCTAAATCACACTAGTCGACCAACTAATTGCAATTTTAGAACATAATAGACACAGAACACATTTTATGATCGAAATAAACTTATGAAATTCTATTAACTATATCTGCGTAGCATTGTAATACATTAATACTGTTGTATCTGCTTATCCGCTAAATCGATTGTATAATTTACCGTCGCACGGTACGCACAATTTTACTGTGACAGTCTATACCGTTAGGTGTCATAAAATGATTTAAAAAAATAATTATACACGACAAGCAAAATATATTCATTATTTTAAATCATCGTATTGTCAACGAACAGTGAGGTGAAATGTGGGGTTATTAACACGTTAAAGACCGCATGCCCACCGGTGGGTCACTCCGCAACGAAAATTTACAAGTTGGGACCGGGTGATCATCCGTGGGCACTTTAACTGAAATAAATCTAGGAGTTAAATAATGTCTACCTCAAATTATTGTA